CTAATCACTTTGATCCCACATGTAAAGAAGCCTGATTGTCCTGGGCGGAATTTGATCCAGGACACCGGATCTTCTGTGATAAAGGGCGTCACTAAATGCCCCTAAACGTTGCATATAACAACTGAATATAGGCTAGATATCCTTCCAATCTAATTCCATTTCCAGTGTGTGCTGTGCGAATACGCAGACGTACACGTCGACAGGCAATCTAGTTGGACTCCGCGGATACGTCCGTTACAACCAGCTCACATTCGGAATCGATTATCGTGTCGTCTAATTCTCGATCTCCCTGACAGTTATTGCGATTTCTGTACCGTGCATTTTATTCAGAAACACATAAACCATTTTTTAACCGAGTATTTTTTGCTCACAAGGCCTACATAGCCTAAAAATGTCAACAGAATGGGAACTCTTGTCTTCGAAAGCAATCAGTTCAAACAACATTCGGTAGCAAAAATGGACCAGGCAGGAGCCGCTGTGCAGTGCAGTCTTTTTGACGGTGAAAAGGCAGCCATATGACATTAGGTTCGGTTTTGCTCACACGAATAAAATAAAAAACTAAATGCTGTTGTCAAATATCGACTTGCACATTCCTAACGATTTTTCACTTTCGCGTATGAACTGTTGCGTCGCAAGGAATGGGGTGGTGCAAGAGGCTAACAGCGAGCCGAACGTGACAAGTGGGGTCCGTGCACTCAAACATCTGCAAGGAAAACTTGGTATCCCGACAGAACTCCCGTCGCGCGGCGAAAAGGCAGAGACGCAGACGAGACAGCGGACAAGTTGCAGCGAAAGCTGTGGCGACTTGGCGTCATTAGAATGTACATCCCACATTGCATTGTCCACCCTGCGACTCTTACGCTGATAAGTCAGCGGCTCCGCTGCACAACCGACTTTCTGCCGGAGACCCCGAAAACCATACCCAGTCGTAAAGTATCTGTCTCAATCTTACCCAGACTAGTATCAAATAATACTTTACCCATGTCAACAATCTAACATAAATACTCCTCTGAATAACATTAACAGCATGAGAAGAAATTGCCTTTGAGCAACAACCAACAAAAGTATAAACTCAAAAATTAAACATCACATCTAGTCATCCCGCCTTCAGCTGATACCGTACCTAGAGAACGTGTTCAGAAGTGTGAAAGACTATTATGCTCAGAGAAAAAGAGAAAATGGACGAGCGACACAGAAGATAGATTCTTAAAGACCCTATGAAGAATCAACTGCTTTCGCCTTCAGAGCTGCATTTTAGCTGAAAATAAAAGTCACAAAAAGAACAGAAATATCAACCATCACAGAAGAATTCAGAAACAACGGTAGAATCGCCAGGCAAGAAGTGATATCAACGGAAATAGACAATGAATAAGGCGCAATGCGGAGGCATCTCTTACGAATACAATCTACTCTCTGATATAATCCTCAAATACGTAAGTGTGTAAAAGGCTATTCACTGAGTCTTCAGCTAGTGCCTCCTGATTGATGAAGAGCGACATGAAGAGCTCGAAGAACTCGTCGTATTACCCGAAGTTGCTTGACAAAACTAGAAGTTCCACTATGGGCGCACTGCGACGATGAACGGATAGCTTATAGGCAGAAAAAACTCACTAATGAAGCTTAGCCTCATGCAGCGCACGATGACGACTTTCCCTGAGACGATGAATGGCCCGTACAAGCTTCACCTGTCTCTGACGTAGACGGCGACGGTTACTAAAAATGTTCCACACACAACTGAATTTGCCCTCCGAACAACTAAAAATGACTGGAAGACAAATGAAGAACCCACTGATTTACGCAGACGCGACCGCAATTTGTCAGCGCCATCTTCCACCCGTAGTCTAGCAGAACAATGCGAAAGAACAAATGAGAGTAGATTAGGCTGTGAAAAGGGAAGAATTTCCGGGTATTTCCAACTGATGTCTGTTCTGAAAAAAAAACTCTTCAACAATCAAGAAGATTGTCACAAAAGATTAGATGTCACTGTAGGCAGAACTGAAAAAGCAAAAGTACATATGACTTCGTTTCGCTGAAAGAAGCGGATTACCCAGGGAACCTACCAATAAAGGCTTCTGTTTCGCCATGTCTATTTCATCGATGAGATTGTATTATCTGCCTACAGATGCGGATTTCAACATCTGCCAATCTTCTGACTACTCTTGAATTAATTTCTGAAACGAGTATACGTTAAAGTCTAGGCACTGGCGCATGACTAGCAGCCATGCAAATAAGCCCAGCCTTCATTGTAAACTCATCATACGGCCACTATAGCTCGTAAGTCACCTTGGGCCGTCGCGGTTAAACAGCTGAGATAGAGAAAAACACGAAAAAAAAAGAGAAATATATTCTTGCTCAAGCGACATGTCAAAATCATAGAGAAAGAAAAGGAAAAACGAGAGGAAGTCATAATTACTTAGAAAAAAAAACAACAATCTACCTTCACTGGACATTCAGACAAAAAATAGTACGAAAACGAGAAACTTACTGGTTTGCTAGGAAAATTACGACCTGCCGGAATGCTATCGAAATTGAAGTTATATGGAAGCTCATTGCGAGTGACATCAATACTAAAAAAACCAAAATCAGGCAACATCAAAAGCTAATACAAATCCCAAATCGTTGACTGTCACTGCACATTCACGAAAACTTACATATAAAACTTGATTAATTCAGGTGAAGATGAGAAATAGTTGGCAGTATTGTGATAGACATGCAATGCCGTCGTAGACGGAGCATGCCAAGCACCCCCTGAGAAAAACACCACCACGTCATGAGAGGTATTGTGCTGAAAAGCCATATTATTGAGCACTACATTCGCTTTAGCGCTAAATGAAATATACCAGCTTAAAAAATTCTTTCAAATACGTAAACGAATGCTTGTGACTCACCCTATTCTCTATAAGATCATGGAAAGTGCGCTGTGTGAGTCGCTGCAGGGCATGTTCTTCCCTTACGCGGGGATGCACAGGCCAGGATCTTTTACGCCACTAAACCTGAATCGACCTTATTTATTTATTTGTTTATTCATCATGCATTTTAGGTGCGCCAACGGCAAACAAAAAAATATTTATAAAAATATAATAAAAAATATTTATAAATAATACTTATAAAAATATTTCGCAATAAAATCTACAACAAAAAGCATATGAGTTTGATTCCTTCAGCAATATTTCACTTTATATCCTACCAACAGGGCGGAGGTGGTTTAGGGTCAAGAAGCGTCGCTTCCCATACGAATGATCCGAGAATCGGACCCGGATTGAACCTCGCCCAGGCCAATAAGCCTTCATCCCTCGTGGTCGGTCTGTTAGTATCAGACTTGTATGAGGTGTTGACTGAATTTTGCATCAACTGGACTCCACAAGTCACTGCATAAGTCATATTGCATTCAAGTCGACTACGATTCCGAATGGAAGTAGAGTGCGTGGCGCATCAATAAGCCGACAGCTTCATATTTCATATCACCTTATAACGCGACAGTTGTAAACAAACCTTGTTCTACTGTCTTCTTCGCTCATGAGATGATCCGAGATAAGGTAGGAGTGATAGTCATGGATGAATTCACGGACGCGCTTTCTGCAAAAAGTGGGAATCATGCTCATGCTAGAAAGGACTCCCCAATTCATGCGAAAAATCAATACACTTGTAAAAAAAGGAGCCGTAACACTCACTGCGAGTAGGATCCTTCCATAACAGAAAACAGCTCACGACTGGCGTCAATAGCGATAACTAGCGGCTGCTATAACAACACATCAAAGGAATACGATCAGACTCGAAACGTTCGATATAAGACGAAAGAAAACTGAGAATTGAGCCCACACATGAACAAGATGCAACATCTTTGAAATTAGTTCGCATCATAACAAACCCAGGTATCGTAGGTAGGAATCAAAATTGACGATGTCTCTATCAAGATTTTCCACCTCCTATTCTATCAGAAAAAAAAAAGAAAAAGAAACAAGAATCACGGAATACTGAAACACGAACATGAGGAGTAATGACCCAGGGCAAATTGTCTTCCCTACTATTATAGAATTTCCTCCGAGGCTCCCATCCCTCTAAAAACAACAATACCTCACCGTTCAACATAGCTAGCTTTTGTAAACTATAATCACATAGAAGTTTTAACATGCTCACCTGTGCTTGTATTAACCCCCATTTGTTCAAGAAATACGAATAGTGAAGAGAGTCAAGAACAGCAAATTTTAAGGTGTCATTTTCCTGCAAACAATCTCAGTTGAAGATGAAAATTTCGCACAGAAGATCAGATTATGTTAGGAAGACTCGTTGAAACTGAGAGCGTTACACTTCACTGACTCACGTTCCCCTCGACAAGCTCCATCCGTCGCGTAGTTCAGACACGTATTTATGCTTCGGCATTCGTCATCGAAGTACACTTTAATTTATTAATAGTATTTGGCGATTGAGAGGATGACCAAGCGCGCGATAAAGTAACAAGTCGCCGCCTCATTTCTCTTTCCGGAGTACTTCATGTTAGTCTGTATAATCGACTTTCGCTACACGAATCAAGCCAGTCTTAGTTCCGATCATCGCAGTCGTCCTCGCGTCTTATACTTTGCAGAATAACATACCCACTCTAACGCTAAGCAAGAGTAGCGCGCTGTCATGTTGAGCGAAAAATGAATGGTCAGAATGATTCGTTTCTTGGCAACTGTTCCAATATAATAGACGAGTACTGAAAGACTATCATGGTAATGGAACGCTGGCTTGTAGGACCACGCTCTCGCTTCTCTGGTTCTCGCTGATCTGAGAAAGCCTATTACTCTATGTGCAGTACCGATTATCAGAAATATAAGTAAACAATTGAAGGGTAAACTAACTAGGAAGACGCCACACCTGAGCAATCGCAAAATTTGCTTTCCAAAGAAGCGAGGATATATATAATAGTATAGTTAACTCACCAATCAGCTTCTGCACTGCTGTCAACTCAGGCTGAGAAAACTCATCGTAATAGAGGCAGCACCGAGACAAAACACCATCTGTAAAACCAAAAATAAACCTTGAGAATAGAATGAACACCACCCCCATCATGCAAGCTATTACATTTACAAAACATAAAAACTTGCTTGCATCTAAGCTTCCATTTCGAACTGCACCACACTGTTTAGTCGCGACCAGCACCTGCTCTGTCCAATGGCTTCGACGGCTGCGAGATCCTTCCTTCTGCTCATTCTTTACATCATCGGCATGAATCTCGTCTTCCCAGTGGTACTTAGCCGAAGAGGCACAAGCCATGTTCCAATCCACAGATGGCAATAGCGATCGACAACACGAGTCCATCTTCAATTTTTTACATTATTTTTTTCAGTTTTTTTTTACCCATAGGTGCATTATAGAAGCTAATAATGCACCTTCCAGTGAAGGCTTGCTAACAGTCATTGTCGAAAACGAACAGGGCCTGATGCAACAAATGAATGCGCACGGTTGTTTTATGTAAATAATTGATGCAACATGCTCTGAGGACCAAATGAAACCCTTGTAATGCTTGAATAAAGGCAAGAAGCACTGAGAGGAACGTCTGCATGAGATTCACAAGCAAATTTGTTCAAAACTGCGATAAAGGAAAGAGATGTGGATGTCAGAAAGTCGTTCGAAGTAACAGCAAAAGGGTTTATGAAGCGCAC